AACAATATTATTTTTGTGTAAATATTTTCTTATCTTATGATCTACGTGTATAAACATAGCATTATTTTACCCACTATATTATATCTGCAAACTTCTTCTAAAACCGGGCTTTAATGTTTCGTGGGGTATTCCCATCAGTACTATGACGTCAGTAAAATCTCAAAGGTCGCGAAATGCGTTCACCTCTGTTTGCTTTTGAATAGAGCAAAATCGTTTGGGAATATTTCTGAATTCAACTACTTTGGTATACTTCAAAGTAGATGAAATCGCATTTTGTTCTTTGGTTTTCAAATTCAGTCTCATAATATACATGTTTTCCCTGAAATGTGTATTCTGTAATAACTCATATGATAAATATTTATTTAAATGTGACCTAAATTTCAAAGATATAAAATATAAAAAAAAATCTTAATTGCACATTGTTGTTCAGTGGGTACTAATATAAGTAAGTTTACTTAAATTTAAACAAAGTAATTGTTATCAACTGCTACTTATGTCTTATTCAAACAATATTTTTTTTTAAAACAATTTTTATTACCACGGTCGAGACAAATAATTTATGTTTTTTTTTTTTTTTTTGTAGAAGGTAGGCGCATTCTTTTCTTTTGGTAAAGTAACATTGTTACACACGAACGTTATTGCGTTTCACACGGTTTTATTATAAATTAATATTATGGTTAATAACAGATAGTATACAAATTACAAAAAGATTCGATAAGAAACTGTCTTTGATGCCTTTGTATGCTGTATTATTCATTGTATGCATGTGTACCTACTCAAAATGTTAAAAACATAAATTAAAGAACTCTTGCTCATTAAAATGCCAATTGTGTATAATATGCATATTATTATGCGTAAACGATTTATTATTAGTTACCCCGGTTAGTTATTAGTTATAACATGTTTACTTAATGAAACATGGTCCAGTGGTAGTGTGCTTTATTACCAAAATAATTTTTTTTTGGTTGCTTTTATGCGTTTATATGGTTTTACTAATAAATATAGTTATCATTTTACTAATCATTTTTTTCATTAGTATTATTTTGTAGACAATTGTTAATTAAATTTAAATTTCTGGTACTCATTTCATAATACTAACTAATAAGTAATAAGCAATAATTTTCGTTGTACAAATTGATATAATATTATTACTTTTAATATACACGCATACGGCACTATATTATACAGAAAATTGAAGACATCCCGAATAATAATAAGTAGGTTATATTCTCTTTTCAAATATACAGCAACATCGATATTGTCGCAAATGTGTACGTTCACAAAAGCACATTATGCTTTTACATAATTATCATTAAATTATAATTTAATTGACCATAGAACGTTTTTATTATCCGACGTCGGCCATAATTTAGATAAGATAGCACATATTCCTGTGCTCAAGCCAATATTTTTAACACCCAATCCAACAGGCCGAGTTTAATTGAATTATTCCGTTTTTTGTGTGACGTATTAATAGTTGCTTATACTTGGTATATCGTATATATATTGTATATTATATTTATATACATTCGGTGAGATTAGTGACATTTCTTAGACATTTCTGCCAGTGTGATTCTTTAAACGATTTATTCACGTCTTGGACTCCGTTTAAATATAACTTTTTTTCACGTGCAATAATAACCTAACTAAAATTGTTGTACACATAAGTTTTCAAAAGAAGTCTGAAGCGAATGGAAAAAATCAATTCAATTCAAAAAAATAATAATATTACAAATAGTGACCTGCAATGTTTGTGTACTTTTTAGTGATACATTTTTATCAATACACTTTGAAAAAGTAACTGGAACTGGATCTATCGGTTTAACAATTCGAGTTCCTATTCGTATGCGTGCTTGGCAAACGTTGGGCTGATCTTGTGACAGTGTTTCTGTAATGACTTCAGCTGTCGTGGGTTTTCCAAAATTAATTATTTTTTACCCCCATTTTGTACTGTACAACGAAGCCAACTATTTACAATAACGAAAATTAATTGCCGCCGACGTCTCTGAATTAACACTGACGTAGTTCGTTGTCATTTATTCGCCTCCATTATGTAGGGAGGCACTCACGAATTGTGCAATTATTAACGTTCGCATAAGGCGCGAATCTTATTCCGTCTATACGCCATACACACATTCCTCTTGCATCCACGATAATAGATCATATTACCATAATATGGTTTATATGCGGTGGTTGTAGTAGTAATAATAGTAGTTACTACTTAATACTAGGTAGTAGTAAGTAGTAAAATAGTACTGCCGTGCTGTAGTAGTACCTATAGTAGTAATAAATGAATATTTCTGTGTTCATTAAATACCTGTTTTAAATACGCGTTTAAAAATCGGTTATAATTTATGCACTTAATTTTTTCCCGCTTCTCAAGGACGCCGCCGTGTTGAAATATTTTTAAATCAAATTTCAAAAACATGTGTCATCTACGTCCTTCAAAAAAAAAAATTCATACGTACTGTAATTCTTCGTTGTAGGCTTTATTGCCGCACATAGTGTGTATAATACCTAAGTAGGTACCTATGATATTACAATTAAAATATAATATACAATTGTTTCCAGGTACCAGGTCATTAATAATAATAATATATATATCATGTTAGATAGTTGGAATTTTATTTAGATTTAGTACAACCACTATTTATAATTACAATACAAATTTATGCGCAGTAGGTAGGGGTAGATTGGTGCTTAGACTCGATTTCAAATCGTTGTGAATTATCAGTGGAAATTAAATATGTCATATAATATACATGTACCAATGTATTCATTAATACCTACCATGCGGATAAAAACAGTATCGATCACGCATGTTTAATTTTTGCCGTACATTCGTTGCGATTTAAAATTGTGTCCGCACGCTAAGTTGAAACAGTCAGGCTATATTGGTACGTTGTGATGAGGCACTAAGGTTTTTTCGATAAAATTGTACTTTTAAGTTCACTTTTTTTAATTAAAAAAAAAAAAAAAAAAAAAACCATAGGTAACTGAATGTAACATAATATTATTACTATTTTAATCGTATTGCGATCTGTGCAGGTACTAAGTATATTATCTCATAAGCACTCGAACGGGTCACCGAGGTGATATAATATGACGTGTTGGCATCGCTCTGACCTCTTAACATAGTAACGTCATTTCATTTTATTTCCGATTGTCTGCGTCTTCTGTTATTAGTAATTTACGCGCTGAACTATTCGACATGGAAAAAGTTGCTCGGCGATATAATAATATATGTATCATTATAATATACTATGTATAGGCGGACGTCCAGAATGCCCACGTGGATATGTGTGAGTGCGGAGTGGTGTAATTAAGCGGTTGTCGAGTTGTCATCTCCTTGACCAAATTGCGCGACCGACTGCGTCGTGTCTCGAGACCCCGGCTAGATGCAAACTGCGTATAATATTTGAATTGAGATACACGCTCATATATATACCACGTCTATTTGACGTATTTTTGTATAATTCTGCACCAAATTATTGCCACAAAACAGTCCTTAACGTTTAATTTTTACACTATTTTGATCTGCAATATTATACGATAAACATAATTATATGGTGTGCCGTGTGTGTACTGCCTATTGGTATTTAGATATTTTTATATCGCTCAATTCGATAGTTTCCGTTTCGTGAATTTTAAACTATATACTTATGGGGTAGGGGGAATATTTTATACGCCATATTATTGCACTTTTCTCACATTATACGGAAGTAACATTATAGAGTAAAAAATTAACCCCCAGTGTGCAGATATAGGTGGAGTACTGATACAAGGTCACTCAAAACCAATAAACTAATTGATATTAATATACAGTAAAACCTCTAAAAAAGATAGTGTCGTACCACCTATACATAAATACATTATACATGTGTAATTTTGTTTCTGTTTCTAGAACCTAAAAAAATACATCAGTTTGTATTAATACGGGATTCCGTTAAACTATTAGAATTTGCACTAAAAAACCTTCATAAGACCCGTATCTTGTTCAAAAACGCCTACAAACACTGTTTAAAACCAACTATTATAGTACCTATTATATTTAGTGCACAAATCCAATCAATTTAATTTCATAATATTCCTTAACTATATAATACTGTAGAAATCGCTTCGATGTACCTACCTAAATCGAATTATTAGTTTAAAACACACTGCACGTGCTGATATACGAATTTCTAACTGCTCTTGTCGTTGTAATCGGCATTCAACGGCCTTTGTGCACTTTACGGGGTGTTTAAAAATTTGAAGTGACAACTATTGTGGAAATTACTTAGAGTTTTTCTGCGCTTCTCTTAAATTATTATCTTCACGCAAAGTTTGAAAGACCCGTACAACGCAGTTTATACAATCATCGTCGGCGTAGTTATACGTATTATAGTTGCTTTATATTACAGTAGGCACGTCGTCACTAGTCATACTACTGGGTTACGGCCGTTTTAGGGAAGTGTTTGCGCATGTCAATCATAATAATATGATATACCATAAACGATACCAATATAATATTGTTACCTAACAATTTATTTTTCACATAAACTGCGTAGAAAGGTGTGTGTTTCTACTGGGGTCTCTACCGAAATTACGATCGGTCAGGTATAAATTGTATGTATACTCAAAGGAGAGAGAGTGGCTTATAACCTAACCTAACCTTCGACGCAAGTCGTGTGTTTGGAAAATTTGATATTGGAAATAACAAGCCACGGCGAAACACCAAAAACGGTAACCGGTGGTTTTTTTTACCTATCTATATAATGACTGTTTTTTTTTTTTCATAATATATAATATGGTGACAACTCCGTATACCTATACGTTCCGTTTAACTGCCTCCTCCCCTTCATATTATGCTCTGCGCATGCGGAGTATCGTTGTTCGGCCGTCGGCGGCGAGTGGTGCGTAAATCCCGTAACGCACACACGCACACCCACACGAGTTTATTTCGAAGTATTATTGTTGTATAGTGGTAGTGTAGGTTCTCGATGGCGGTCCGAAGGAGCTCAACAGGTGTTGTCGCGACAACGGGACGGGTATACTGTGGCGCCCCCGTTGCTGCGGGCCGGCCGGTATGGGTTTGGCGGTGTGCAGGGGTTCTCAGACGCTACGGGGTCGGAAGAGGAGTCGGATGACCTCGAGGGCCGGACCAGCGAATTGCGTCGCACTTTCACACGCCGCCGCCGCCGCCACATTCCTCTGGCACCATCAGCGTTTTGGCTTCCGGCCCCGAGCCCGAGCTTTAGACGGAGGCGGCGGACCGGACAGCTAGCGGTGGGACGTCCAAGGTTCGTCGTCGTTCTGAGACGCGCGTGCATGGCGATTTCGGTTTTATTTAAATTCGTTACGCCGGGCGCCAAAATTATTTATTACCTACTGTATTGGTATATTGTATATATATATATATATAGTCATATACCTATGCAAGGTATCCAGTTGAGTTGATCGAAAATTTAAGCCGAATAAATAATAATCTGCAAAACTGTGTTTTGGCTCAATTTTCTGACACACATACATCGGTTAATGATTGGTAAATCTTTACTGGCCATCCTGTATAAATGTATAATACACATGTTTCAATGACGGTCAAGTTCGGATCGTTTTCCGCAGGGAATCGACATTTGTTTCTTCTTTGGTAAATTATCTGGAATATTATCGGTTGCACGTTATTATGCCGTATTGGCAAAGCGATTGTTATTTCACTGAATTGAGCCTCTGTGTGGCTACTGCGAGTGAGTCCGTTTTATTTGTTAAGAAGAAAAGGTACCATTTGTATGACTGTTCATTAGTCACGATTTCAGTTTTCGTGTATGGCCGTTGATCGTACGTTAATATAGACATATTTAGGGCGTGTAAACTTTTGTTGATAAAAACCAATCTATACACTACAGGTTGTGTAATATATTCGGTTACTGTTCAGTTATTTGAATTAATAATTAATATGTCAACAGATGTTAAACATTAGTTTAATTTTATCTCAATGTATCAAAATTGTGTTTCGAAATTAGTTTTGAAATCGTTCGTTGTTTCTACAACGTGTTACAACTATAACGTTTTAAGGTAAAATCGTATACTCCAAATATTATTTTAACGTTTTGAAAGATTAATATTTAGGATTATATTTAGGGCAAGGTACACGTCTGTACAAGTCTGTCAAAAATCTTGGCTCGTCACTTACTTTAAAATGTAACTGTGTCTTTGAGTAAAAAGTAAAAATGTAAAATTGGGTACCTATATGGCTTTTTAATACTCGTACCAGGACAGTTGGGTCCTTCATTGCAGCTTCCTTGTGTGACTAACCATTGCGATTGCAGTGACTAGTTCTCGGTATGTTTAAAACCTCACACTTTATATTAATGATGATTTAATTTCTATTTGTTCAATGTCGGAAAACGTCCGAACAACCTATATGCGCACACACGCCGCAGCATTGTGTGTTCGAAATTGTTCAGTTTCAATATCTGTGTCACATATTGTATCATATTATGACACCGATAAGATATAATATTATAATATATTTTATGTATGTTTAGTAAATACGTTACTACAATAACATTATCTCAGGATAATTTCGCTGTTGTGAAGATACGAGTGTTTGTGGTCGTTGCGCAATTTCGAATATTTTTTATTCACTCTGATAGCGCTTGCATCTACTTATAAGTCGTTCCTAATACCGATAGTTGATAATGTATAATGCAAATATAACCACCGTACTGATAATGTATATAATATGATCAGGTGTCCTTCGTATTATATTTGTGATAGGACTAAGTGCACTGCTGTGCTGCTGCGTAGTTAACAACGGAAATATTTCGTTATTACTTGTATTATAATATTATTATGTATAATAATATATTGTATTCGTATAGGCGCGAAAAATACACATGTTCGAGTATTGAGTATATCATAATGAATTCAGAAATAGTATGATATGGTCAGGAGTATTTTAATCCTTAGATTTGTATCGTTTTTACGATTTACCCTAGGAGCGATATGACGTTTACCTAAAAACTGGATGTCAACGACCATATTATGATATTCGATGTGAAATCGAACATAATCTCTCTACGCCTACTACAAACATCAGTTTATTATACAAATTATACGCACAGAAGAAACGTAACGCGTTTATTCGTGTTGTGTTTATACTCGGCTGTATAATAAGGACTGAACTCTGAACTTCAAACTTAATTCTGACGAAATTTTTCTTTTTTTAAACGTTAAGTTTCTCTATCATTCTATAAAAAAATAATTTTGTTAGTTAAATGTTTTTTTTTTTAATTTAGTATAGTCGTTATAATTTATAATAATATTACATTTTCCTTATACAATTCCGATAATTATCAGCATCAATCATTAAAAAATGTTACTTAAAATAAATCATTTCCCACTTGCAATGTTGCCAGATTGAGTAATACGATCACACATGGTTATCACTTATCAACGTTCAATAGACATACCAAAGTTTATTATACTACCTATCAATTATATCCAACATACTATCCAACTAACTCCGTAATACATAATATAATGCTTTAATATAATTTTACAAGTTATTAAAATTCATAAATTATAATTTTTTTTTACATATTAATGTTATTCAATTATTCATTTGCACATTCATAAAATTGTGTAGATTATAACAGTTATACCTGATTGATACCTTCTAAGCATTGCTCTCTCTGGGAATTAAAAATATCTTCAATTGTTGTGAAAAATCACGCCAATAGTTTGTAAAATGTGGTGGTTCAATTGAATGCTAGTTAAACGTGTAATTAGTATTCAATTTTAATCACTATCCTACTCACTCCATGGCTTAAAAGGTGTATTTGAAAGGTACTGAGAGATACCAAGATACTGACCATGATACTGAGGAGACGCATTATATAGTAATCTTTTAGGTTTTAAAAATACATTTTAAATAATTTAAATATGGTCTATAATAGTGCTCAACAATTTTTAAAGATATTAATAAGTAAATAAGACATAATAAACTGCAAAACGAGTATATATTATTTTAATATCATAACAGTATTTAATATTTATAATTCAATATAATAATACAATATTAAACACTTAAGTTGCCGCCGATATTATCATTTTTTAATTTGGCCCGCCTGCCGTTGCAGCCGTTTTATATTCGATGACGTCAAAGTTGACCTATTATTAGTCCGGCGGCGGCGGCGGTGGCGGCGTTGTGGCGGCGCGTTCTACGTGTTGTTATTATTATTATTATTATCAAGTGTATTTAACACGTAAAATATTATATATTACGTAAAATATAATAATATGGAGCGGCCGCACAAGCGGTCTCGAATAATATGTAATAATAATAATAATATTATTATTATACGTTCAACATTCGAAAATCGTTAAATTCGATTTTTACCGTACGTAGTATTATATACGTGTGCTTCCTGGTGTGCGCAGGCGTGTCGCAACCGGTTTAGGCGTATTTTTGGCGGCTGTTCCGCCGTAGCCGTCGATTTCGGAAAAAACGCGTTCGAGGCGTGTAAACCGTTCCGGTGCGATCAACGGCCGTGTAACAATAAATGATTACCGAGCGCTATTTTCGTAGCATTCGGCTACACTAATATACTATTCGTGTCCACAACGGCCGAAAAATATTACGCACGTGCCGCCGCCGCCGACGCTTCGCGAGCTGGTCGCCGGGGCGGGGGGCGTGGAGCGAAGGAAAGACGAGAAGAGGATACGGTCTCGACCGTATTTTCGATTGTCGACCTCTCGGAAAGTGAGATGATTTAATTCGTGCATTGTGGCGTACGACGAACACGCATCACAATTTTTTACGTTTTGCGTGTATTGTTATGCAGTTGCCGGGTCTGTTTAGAGGACGTGCCCCGTCTCCGTCTTACAAGACGGGCGTAACACTTGCGAATTTACATTTAATGTTTTCATTTAAAGCTTCGTTATAGTTTAAACACAAGAGTGATTTGTCAGCTAACAAACTGAAGGGGGGGGGGTACTACCCAACGGCGCAACATATTATTATTATTTTCTGTGGTTCGTTGATGTCAGATGGGTTTTTTCGAAGTTTTAATTCCGTAGCGAGTTATGAACGTTTTTAAATTGTATGCCTATATACTTTACACGCTTAAAAATTAAAATATCGAAATAACGTTTTCAACAAACCACGTAACAGTTTGTTACCTTTATGTAAGTTTAATAAAATGTAAATTCACACTGTATATTAAAACTAATGAACTTAAATTTGCCATATTACGCACCGGAGCACACAATATACTACTTAACTTGCTTACTTATTTCTCAAAGATAAAATGCTCGATAATTTGTACACGAATTACCACCCAACTACACTAATAATATATAATATATATTATATTATACGAGATGCATCCCACTAACGTACTTCACGTTTCCTAAATGTTATCGTAAACGAATAGGCTCTTATAGAAGTTTCTTCCAAATGGCAAGTAATACATTAATATATTGTATAAGTGCTTTCTAATATATAGTCGGGAAAACTTGTATATATTTGGGAATTGACTCGTGTATAGTCGGGAGGCAACTCGTATAAAGTCAGGAGGCAATCGGTATACAAATTATCGACCTTTTTAACTTGAGTAGCCGCGAGGAAATTAGTATGCGCTCTTCTGAGATGGATACAACACACGCGTGTGAGACGCGGCATGTAGTGTGGAGATCATGGACGTTTTTTTTTCACTGCTTTTGGTGTTTGCCCGGCCTACATTTACAAAACCGTTTACTGAGTAAGCCGTAATATATTATAAATAAAAAGGTTAGGTTAGGTTTGGTCGGTGTGTTTTCTCTCGGTACACATTTCCGATCGATAGAAAAAACTCCGCGGTTTTTCTGTCGGATTTGTTCAACTCTGCGTACAACGCTCTGCGGTTCAGCCGAATTAACGGATTATTATATGTTTTTTCACACGGTCACCTCCATCCCCCACTTCTCCCTACCACTCTGCAATCGTAGCCTCGCGATTCCTGGACGATCGGTTTGCCTCAACGTCATAGCCAATATTGGTATTTACATTGAAATCATCGCATGCGGCGGCGTGTGTTTGCCACCGTGTCCTCGCGTATATCGTGCGTCTAAATTCTCTCGACCATCATCGTCTCGGTTTCCGGGCGATCGAGAATCGATGGTCTGTGGTTATTTCTCGCCGTCTTTTAAATGGCTATTGCTTCGCCCATAATAGTATTATGTTACTGTGTCCGCTGTTACAAAAAAAAACCGCGATTCCCGTAATTGTCTCCAAACGGTACGATAACTGTTATGTTCAATGTGTAATTATTCAATAATAGGATTTTAG